CCCCAAAACCCCAAAACCCCAAAACCCCAAAACCCCGTAATAATCTCAAATTATTGTAAACTTATCATAAATAAAGATGAATCAAGGAGAATTAATTGAGCAATACGAAAGCTCAGAGGAACTCAATGTCCCTGACGAATTCAGTGAGGACGCCTTCGACGACATTGGCTACGACGAGCAATCTGATAGATACGTGCCGAGAGATAGCATCTCTAGCAGAGGGGGAGGAGCTGCTAGAAGAGGCACTGATCGAAAGATTCCTGCAACATATATCTCTAGATCAAAGCGAGCATCCAATAGGTATGAGAAAGATGTACATCTGTTGTACTAGTTAAAGAATCCTTAAGATAGAACAAGACGTTAGATAGTTATCGAATTAATATTATATTAACAATCTAATTTTGCCAAATAGCCAACATAACGATCCAAACTCAAAAAATGATATATCCAAAGAAAAGGAGGCTAAGATGTATAAAGAAGATGATGCCAACGAGCCATCTCAAGACTTGAAGTCCGAAAGCGTCATATCTGAATATGTTTCTGAAAAGATATAGTCTACCTTGAAAGCGATATTGAAAGAGAAGAAGTCAACGCAAATAAGCTTCAGAAACACCCAGGAGACAGTGAGAGAAACAAGCAAATTGAGGAGTATTTGGATATTGCGCAAGATGATTACATCAACAGGGACGAATACGAGAACCAATCTGAAGTTGAACCAGAGCCTGAACCTGAAAATCAATCAGAGAATCAATCTGGTCATGAAAATGATCTCCCAGATCTAAGTGAAGAGCAGCAAAAAATGTACGATGAATTAGAGAAAAATAAGCAGGAGTTATTAGCCAGGAAGGAGGAACTAGAGACTCAAATTGATGAGCTAAGCATGGAACTGGATAATGCCTTCCCAATCGATCAGCATCCTTCAGCAGCACTTCAAGACGTTGATCCAAAATTCCTCACAGAATTAAAATCTCTGGCAGCCCCTCCAAGTACAGTGAAAGAGGTTGGATCAGGAGTCATGATATGATTCCAAGCCCCAACTGATTGGAACAGTTTTAAAAAGATGGCAAGTGATAGAAATAGGTTCATGGCATTGCTTAGAAACTATGACTCAGTCCACATGGATGAGAAAGTTCTCGAAAGTCTTGACGACCACATTGAAACTCATGATTTAGCAAATATTCCCGGAATAAAGAAAAAGTCTCTTGGTGCAGCAGTTTTAGCAAAATGGTTAGTTTCAGTTAGCCATTCAGGCCACATTAATCAAAACTTGAGAGAGCCGAGAGAGAGGAAGGAACAACTCACTACAGAGCATGCTCAGATAGTATACGATCTTGAGAGAATAGAGGAGACTCAGGCACACATCCTCGGTATTAGAGACACCTCAGATCTCCGTAATGCTGGACTTCAAACAATCTACGAAGGAGGTCGTCACTATCTCCATTATGAGTCAGTTGGTGATGATGGAAATCCTCAGACAATTACTCAAGAGTTCATTGCTGACTTCTATCCAGAGCTTCAGATGGATCACCCTAACGAGGTCTCTCAAAATGAGATGTCTGAAGATAGAGACATAGGACAGGAAAGCTTATTCTACATCTCAAATGAAATTAAAAAGAAGGACCAAAGCAAAAAGTTCGTTCTCTGGGAGACCAACGAAATCAGGAACCACTGGGAAGAAATGGACATTAAAGGAAAGAAACAGCTCAAAGATTCCAACCAGAACCAGTGGGCATACGATGGTGATGATAAGCTTCCCAGTACTGTAGATAGTATTAAACATAAATAAGAGGGCCACCAAGCTTCCTACCATAGTTCAAGATTATGATGAATTGAGAGTCCCAAAGAAAGACCATTATATTAACAACGTATTCCATCAGAGTGCCCTTCAGGATAGACTAGAGCAGAAGAAGCGTCAGAAGAAAGCTCCAAATTCGCATGCAACATTCTCTAAGCCAGATGAGTCTATCAAGACTAGTGCTGTCAGAGACCTGAAGCTGAATGCCAGCAACAACCAAGGTTTGCATTTTTCTCAGATTGTTTTTATTTCGGTTTATTTTCGAAACTTTTCTTAGTGGAAAATCGATCCTGAAGTTCACCATTAAAAGTAGCTAAGACAACACTTTAGTGAGTCTGAAGGCTTTAGGTTATTTTATGTAATAGAATCTCTGGTTTAGTACCCTGTACCTTCAGCTGTTTAGGATACACATGAATTCAGCAATCTTGATGCAAAAATTTTGTGCATATTGGTCTAGATTAGTTTTAAATAACCACATTATCCTTTCTTTCTGTATATAATCAGGAGTTAAATTCCTAAAATGCTCATTTGATGTAAGACAGATAGTACTTCAGGCTTATATTGAATTTTAAGTTGATTGAGAGCTGTAGAACTCTTACTCACAAATTTCATATCCTAACATATTTTATAGAAGCTCAAGGTAGCAGAGCTAATCAGCCAAACACGATCAAGGCGGCTGGAAGACCAATTTTCGGAGGCACCTCAAGCAGCAGCTCCATCTCTTCGAACATAGACATGGGCAGAGCGAGAACGTTCTATTCATCGAATATATTTTAAGTGGAGCCCAATAACTTAGCATCTTCAATCAAAGTCTAATTTTAGGGGTTTTGGGGTTTTGGGGTTTTGGGGTTTTGGGG